AAAAAATTCATGTGACACGAAATTCGAATTTATTTTCACATATAGAAAAACAGCCTCAGGGAAATGTCACACGACTAATAATTAAATATACGGGACGTAAACGATAAACAATTATACAAATAAACAATTAGAAAAATAAATAAAAATAGAGATTAAATTGTCCCGGAATTAAGATATTTGGCCAAAAGATCTTTGTCAAAGTTTAATTCCAGTAACAATATTTTTATCCCAACAGGGATAAACAAATAATCAATTCAATTGTCATTTAATTAAATGCACATTTTAATTTTAGTAATAAACAAATAATCAATCCAATTGTCAAGTAAATGAATAATAAATTTCAATTGTCAATTGATTAATTAAATGCATAATGCTTTTCTTAAGTAATTAAATAATCAATTAGTTAAATGCGCGGCACTTTGTTTTTAGTAATAAATAAATAATCAACTCAATTAAATGCATGTTTTATTTTTAGTAATAAACAAATCAATGATACAATCCAAAAAACAGGATAAATGATAATAATATTAAATAGCATCTTTAGCTAATAAACAATAAACAATTCAATTGTCAATTAATTAATAATAAAATGATGCTTTTCTTATAAAAAGTAAACAAATGATGTGATTTTTTCAATCTTTTCAAAAAAAAATTTATTCAATTTCTTTCCAATTTCCTTTGGCAAATAATACAATATCATCATCCATTATAAGAAATCAAAAAAACATTTTAAACCAAAAAACAGCTTTTTTTCTCAACCATTTTTTTTTTTTCATGATTAGAATTTTGTCAATTCTGTTTTATCATTTCAATGTTAATACATACAAGCAAATGAAAAGCTCCCAGTGATGACAAAGTAGAGATTCTTGCAAAAAAATGCAAAAATATTAATATAGAAACAGATATACCATATGCAGAATCTTCTAAAAATGCAGCTAAAAGAAAAGCAAATGAGGACATAAACAAAGAACAACAACAAAAACAATCAAGTAAATATTTACCATTTATCTGCCTTTATTTTTTTAGGAATATCCACTTAATATAATTTTTTTAAATATCTAGAACATCCTTGTCCAACTTGTAAGGGGACTGATCATTCACATTCTTCAAGCAACCTTTGTAAATTTCAAAAACATCATGCATCCAAATCTGTTCAAGAAAAAAACACAAAATACAAACAATGCACAGTAAAAACTGGACTTGGAGGATTCCTTAAAGATAAAGATCTTGAGCCTGCAATCCAAAGTGCTGTTGAAAGAATGACTCAAATTGTTTTTTGAAGGCTCTCGATTGGCTAACCAAACAGCACTTTATCACATGACCCTTGGTGATCAATTTCCTTTCAACACAAGTGAAGGTGCTTTCAAGTATATGAGGCAATGTTTCCAAGCTGTAACTACATCCCAAAACACCCCTGACACCACCAATGAACCCATCATAAATAATATTCAAGATACCCTCTATACACAATATTGACCTCAAGGAATGAGTTGGACAAATAAAAAATCATTAGTACAACTTCTCTCCTCTGCTGCACGGCAATATGTTACAAATTGTCAGAACCACATAACAACAAATCTTGATAACTAACTTAAAAGATGGATAAAATATAAATTATTTAAGATTCATCAATTTCCTTTACCCAAAAAAACACATCAACACCATTATAAACCATTCCATCACTAACTTGAAAAATCAAGATCTCCCTTCCCTCCCTTCAAACATTATTGATAAACTCTCTACATCACATCTGCAATACCTAATTTACCTTACTACCCACATTCAATATATTCATTTGAAAGTGCAACAGACATTATTCCAAAATCAAGCTCTTGATGATGTGTCTGTAAAAGCATCCTGGTGGTCATATCTTTCAGGTCTTCATAAAATCCTGTGCACCTTTACCAAACATAACAGGGAACGTGGTCTCCATCTCTTCACACTTCTGCCTGAATACTCTTTCCAACAAAAGTACATATTAGTTGATACTAATGCTTTATATTATATGTACAAATCAATTGAAAAAGTAGGAGTAACAACCATTCAAAGATTCAGAACTGAAAAGGAAATTTGGTGGATGGAAGCATTTAATATTAATAA